ACACACTACAATGGATATCTACAGCGTGCATCTAAGATAGACAGGGTGTTTCTGGCCGCTCCTTGTTGGCTGCTCACTCAGATGCACGTCTCGGCAGAGGTGAGGGGCCTGCCCGAGACGCTCGAGCAGAAGGGCATTTCTGATCATGCCCCTCTCCAGATCACTTTGCAGCATCGGCCGCTGCAGCAAGAGGACTCCCAGCCTATCCCAAAGTCGGTATTCAATCATCCTGATTTTCAGCGTTTCTTGGAAGAGTTCTGGGGAAGGCTGGATCTCTCTCTCTCTCTCTCTCTCTCTCTCTCTCTCTCTCTCTCTCTCTCTCTCTCTATATATATATATGCTCGCCTCCTGTCCGCCTGCGCCTGTGCAAAGAGGTGATGCGATAAGCTGCCCGGTTTACCAGAAAAATACCAGAAATACGATGTTCTCAGGTGACCCGACGAACGTTGCGAGTAAGATGCTACTTCTTCGATATGCCGCTCGTGTTGTTTGGCGTCGGGATCCCCAGCTTGCGAAACGATTATCAGGGTGCGAACTTGCCCGCGCACATCTACCGATCGATCCTGATACTCAATGCATCTCTCTGTGCAGGCCCGCTCTTTTTGCTGAATCTTTGGATGCGCTTCAATTTGCTGACGCTGAAGAGGAACAGCGTCGTGCTCGGGGCCAGCTGCAAGGCACTGGCCTGCAGGCCTCGCCGGGTCCGGGTCCAGATTCTCCCCCTTATGGTGCTTGGCAGGCCTCAGATCTTGGGATTCAAATATTATATGACGTACTTTGGTGGCAGTTGGAAGGGAACCCCATGCCCCTGGGATACAACATACTTCTAGGCGTATTCGTTCCCAAAGGAGAAGAACCCGAAGATACCCCTCTTGGAGTTCTCAGACATCCCTCTGATCTTCGCCCACTAGGACTCAAAAACACGGACAACGAGATAGTAGCAGGTGTGGCATTCCGTCGACTGAATCAATCATTACATCGAGTTGCTAATCATATCCAACGTGGTTTCGTCGCGACTCGAAACTTCGGCAACAACATTATTGAGTTGGACACATACGGGAGAATATACTCTATGCAAGAAGACGCCTCTGCAGCCATGCCTCTCTTAGTGGGATACGATTTTGGTCAGGCCTTCCCCAGTCTAGCTCACAGCTGGGCACTGAAAGTGCTCAATGCCATGCTGCTGCCGACGCCGCTGGTAAAGTTCACAGAATGTCTCTTCTCTGGTGTCTGCTGCTTTGGTGCGGTCGGCGCTGATCTCACACTTCTCTTTTGGATCTGCAGTGGCATCATTCAAGGCTGCCCGAGCTCGGGCTGCCTGTTCGCGCTGTCAGCGGATCCGTTCATGTCCGATTTTGACAAGTCCATTTGCCAGAGAGATCGTGGAGTGGTCCGAGCTTGTGCTGATGATATTGGCGCTGCCCTTCGCCGACTGGAGCATCTACGCGTCATGCACCGCGTCTTCTCTACGGCCAAACGAGTTGCTGCGCTGACATTGAAGTTGAAAAAGTGCGTCATCGCCCCCCTGAGTGGACCTTGCACGCCGGCTCTCAAAGCTGAATATCAAGCTGCATTTGCACAACTTATACCAGATTGGGCCCAGATGCCTATCAAAGATGTCTTGAAATACTTAGGAATGTGGCTTGGTCTTGCGGCTCTCGATCACAGCTGGCGGGCGCCGATTTCGAAGTGGAGATCTCGAACGCTTGAGCTCGCTCTGACAGGCGCCCCGATCCGCGTCATCTCGTATCTCTACCCTGTTCGTATTTCCTCTGTTCTCTCTTACGTCTCTCAATTCCTCCCCCTCCCAAGCACCATCTGCCATGAGGAGGCCGCGCTTCTAGCCGCATTATATCACACTCCGTTCTGATCACTGCCCCGAGAGGGTTGGTTTCAGCTTCTGCACTGGGGAGGGCCACAGGTTCCCAGCTTAGTAGCTCAGAATGCGGCAACCCTTATGAGAGCGGCAACTCTGCACTTCACTGTTTGGAGGTCACCCATTCCCTAGCTCAGTGCTGCCGCCGATCGGTCCCTGTCTCTTCAAGAGATTGCGCTCAACAGGTTGTCTCCCCGCTTTTGGTTACAGCCATCATTTGCTGAATTCCTTTAGTCGGCAGCGGAGGGTTTTCCTCAACAGATTGGCACGTCACTTATCACCTCCACCCCTGTCCTTCGCTCCCGTATTGCTGCTGTTGTTGCCCCTGCTCTCTCCAATGTCCGCTCCCTCCTCAGCAACCCCCCCGCGCAATCCGAGTGCAGAGCCTGTTATATCAAGATATAACCACCCACATGTATCACGATGCTCTTATTTTGTCTTTCGCATCGCGTTTATCGAGCTGGCTCCCGCTATCGTTCGAGGAAGCCACGAATCTTCCCTGGCCACAGATACGAGAGACTTTGACACAGGTGTCTCCCACGGCCGCATTTCAGGTCTTGCGTTTGCTCATGGGCGCGTGGGCGACTGCCCGTCGATTCCAGCAGATAGAGCCGTGCATGTGCTGCCACGGCCCATCTGATTCTCTAGAGCATGTCTGGTATTGTCCCTCTTTTCTCGCTTTGCTCTCCTCTGTCCTTGTTGAGTTCTCGTGTCTCCCGCCCCCCGCTTCCCCTGTTGCTCGTCTCGGTCTCTCCGACCCATCACCTGACACATTAATTGTTCCTGCAGCTGCCACGCTGCTGTACCGCCAGCTTCGCAGCATCCACAGCGGTGCAATCATTCGCCCCGAGAGGGCCCGGGCAGCGGTTCCCACAGTCAGGTTCCATCTGCGCCGTGCATGGCGGCGTTGAGGAGATGAACGCGCGTGTCCGCCTCGGCCACGCGCGAGGAGGAGGAGGAAGAGGAGGAGGAGGAGGAGGAGGAGGAGGAGGAGGAGGAAGAGGAGGAGGAGGAGGAGGAGGAGGAGGAGGAGGAGGAGGGGGAGGAGGAGGAGGGGGAGGAGGAGGAGGAGGAGGAGGAGGAGGAGGAGGAGGAGGAGGAGGAGGAGGAGGAGGAGGAGGCCTCCGCACCGGCACGACCGCAGCCTCCCCGCCGAGCAGCCCCCACGCCCGAGGAGCCAGCGCACGCCACCCCGGCGGATCGCCTCGGCCTCCTCCGGAAGGGCAACGCCCCGCTCCGCCAACCCGCCCACGACGCCTGGCGCGCTTGGTCCACGCAGCTCGCCGAGCTCTCCGCGCCCGTTCCCCACCTGGGCCACTCCCCGCAAGCGCTCCCCCCCCTCGCAGGCGTTCTCGCGAGGCTGTTCGCGTGCCTCTAGGGGGGGCTCGCGCTGCGCTGCGCTGGTGCACCGCTGCCCCTCCCGACGCCTGACCCCGTCCCGCTGCCCTGGGCCCGGCGGCCGGCACGTGCGCGTCACCGTCTCCCCTCCCAGTCGATGGACGAGATCGCCGCACCCCCCAGCGCCCGCGGTGCTCCTGCGCTGTTCCTGCGCCGGCGCCTCGGCGGGAGTCAGCGGTGCGACCCGAGATCTCCAGCCCCCCGCCCCCCTCCCTCCGACGGGGAGTCTCTTGCATGGGGTCGCCGGGACGGCTGCCACACCGTTCCCAGCCGTAGCCTTAAGTCGGGTAATCTTCAAAAATAGCCAAACGAATAATCAGGGGACGATTGTTCTACTCTGCTCTGATTCCTTTTGAAGGCTGTATTACATTCTTCACTTGCCTACCAGAATCTGCCCGCACTGTAGAGGAGGACGTGTCCGACCCGACCCTAGCGCTGTGCGTTCCCCCCCTCCCCCTCGCCGCCCCCTGGGGGCCACTTCGCCCGGGCGCACGGCCGGGTCGCCCCAGACCCGGGCGCCGCGGCCGCTGCCACGTGGCGGGGGACCCGCGGAGTCCCTGCCCCTCGCTGCCGCGCGCCCTGCTGTAACGTCCTGCTCACTGCTGGCGGGGGAGGCTCGCGCCGCCGGCGCCGCCCTCCCTGGCCGTGCCCCTCCGTTCGTGCCGGCCGCTTCCTGGCTCGGCGGCCTGTCTGCCCCCTCGCCGTTCCCGCGATGCCTCCTCCCCTCCCTCCTCGGCCTCGCTTGGCCTCCTGATGCTGCGGCGCTCCGCCGAATGCCTGCCGACCCTCCGAGGGGGTCGGCCGCCGTCCACCCCATGCGCTCGTGCGCCGCCGCTGCCCCCCCTCCGTCCGTCCGCTTCGCTTCTCCTCTTGCCTCCCCCTCCTGTCCGTCGGCCCCCTCGCGTCCCCCTCGCGGCTGTGCTACCGCGGGTCGTGCTTCAGGAGGGGAAAAAACACACAGACACAATTAATCGCCGACTCCCAGGAAAATGTGGGAAGTGGGGAGGAAGACAAAAACCCCGAAAATTTGGGAAACGATGGGGATTTTTTTTATTTGTATGTTTTTATTTGTGTGTCCCAGGGCCCCTTCAGTGCTGCGCAGCGCCCCGCTGCTGCCGTGAGCTGGGCCCGCCCCGCGCGTCCTCTGCCCCTGCCGTATAGCCTGGCTTCGTCGCGCTGCTGCGCGCATGGCCGCAACGCCAAAGAGTGTCTCTGTGTGTGTGTGCGTGTGTGTGTGTGTGTGCGTGTGTGCGTGCGTGAATGCGTGCGTGTGCGTGTGCGTGTGCGTGCGTGAATGCGTGCGTGTGCGTGTGCGTGTGCGTGTGCGTGTACGTGTGCGTGTGCGTGTGTGTGTGTGTGTGTGTGTGTCCTTGTCCTACCCCCAGCGCCGCCCCGCCGCCGCCTGGCGCTGCTCTGAGCGGGCCCGGCTTCCTTCTCCTTCCTGCCTTCGCCGGGCGTTCCTTCTCTCTCCTCCGCGCGTTCGGCTTAATTCGCATTTGTATGTCCTATTTATGGTCTCCCGCCAGCGCGTTCACTCTGCCTAGCCGCCGACGCAAAAAGTGTGTGTGTGTGTAGGTGGGGCGAAATGTAGGTCTGAGTTTGGGACTTTAGAGGCCTTGACAGATGTGCTCTGGACCACTCCTACGAGCACCCGATCTTCATTCTCGCACTGGCAGCCCTCGCTGGCATTGTGACGCACTATCGGACTGGCGTCCACTCGGATGGCATGGCTGCGGGGACAGTGGTGGGCCTCGCCGGAAGTGTCGGCCTGCCCGTGAAGGGCGGGGTGCCTCAGTGGTCCTCGACGTGTTACGGACATGTCGGCGACAAGGCCTGTCACAAAACTAACAAATGCAGCTGTACGAGTGGCTGCATCGGTGCAGATGGCAGCTGTTATTCTGAGAACAATCAGGTGATCGCGGATGGGTTCTCGCTGTATAATGCAAAGTGGCCGACGTACTATCTGTACTTCCAGAGCATGTCCGTATTCGGCCAGATGAAAGTATCGAACTCCCGCTTCACAATGGGCCAGGATAAGTTCACCCTCCTGCAGCCACCTGGCCAAGGGACAGAGAAGGAGTTTTTCATGGCGTCCCACAAGTGGCCGCAGTCAATGGTTTCTTTGCAGCAGACGGGTTTCACTGAGCTCAGCTTGTGGGGAACATACGCCATGAACGTGAAGACCGATCACGAGCCATGGGATCTGGAAAAAGTCTTGCTTCGCGTTTGTATGCCCGCGACGTTCCCGAACAAGACCAAGAACACCAAGGCCATCACCTTTGGCCTCAGCAAAAAGCAGGGGGGCTTCCCCGTGTGGTCGTACGTGGCAGACAAGCACTGGCTGGCCCAAGGGTTCTGGGCGCCCGAGCAGATGGTCTCCGAGCTGGCAAAGCACCCTGGCAAGCTGCCCTCGGGGGTGGCCACGGGACCACCGGGAGACAACGGCTACTGGATCCCAGAACCAGCGTTTCCGAAGGGTGCGATCCCGGCTTGCTGATGAGCTGGCCTTTCTCGGGGGCGGCAAAAGGGGGGGGATGACCAGGGAGGGGGTGCATGTCATGGCGGGGGCCACGATATCTCCCCAGATTTCATGGCGCCTCTTCTCATTTCATTGCGTCCCCCGCCACCCCCCCCGGGCCACGCACGTGCCGCCGGTCATGATTTGCACCTCCCCCCCTCTTGGACGCCCCCCTTCATGGACGCCCCCGACTGTCTGGACAGGTCGCAAACCCGATCTGCGACAGCTTGTCGAAATCAATCATCCATGGGGCGCTGCCGCGCGACCCGGCCACCGCGACGGGGCGGGCGCCTGGCGGGGCTTCCTGGGGGCTGCTTGGGGGCCGTTGGGCCGTCTGGGGCCCGCTGGGCCGTCTTGGGCCGTCGGGGCCCCTTGGGGCGTCTTGGGCCTCGGGTCTGCAGAAGCCCGACGAGGCGCGAACGCTGAAATCCCTCGAGAGCACGGGAGCATCATTGATCTCGCCGTCGTCGGTCCTGGGGTTCCTCCTGGAGGCCCCTCGCGGGACTCCCTCTGCGTCGTCTTGGGAGGCTCTTGGCCCGTCCGGCGCCTCCGAGCTCTGGGCCGTCTTGGGGCGCTTCGGGGTTGCTTCAGCGCCGTTTTGGAGGCCTCTTGGGCTGTCCTGGGGCCGTCTCAGGGGCCTTTGGGGCTACACACTGTTCACCTCTAACTCTTCGAAGGTTCTTCGATTTTCTGGGGGCCAAGATCCTCTCATTTCTAACTGTTATATCCGGGGCCTCTTCCTGGCCACTAGGGGGCCAGGAACAATTAGAAACGAGCACAATTAGAAATGAGCACGATTAGAAATGAACGACGTGTATCGGTTCTCTTGGGCCATCTCTGGGCCCTCTTGGGTGCCTGGTGGGCCGTCCTGGGGCCATAGTGGAAGCTTGTGGGGCAGTCTTGGGCCTCGGGCCTTTGGAAGCCCGAAAGGGCGCGAATGCTGAAATCCTTCAAAAGCATTACGAGCATCCTTGATTTTGACATCGTCGGTCCCGCTCGGGGGTTCTCTTGGGGCGTCTTGGGGGCCTCGTGGGCCGTCCTCGGGCCATCGCGGCCGTCTTGGAGACTGTCTTGGATCGTCGTGGAGGCCGTGTACGATCCTGGCTTCAAGGCAGTATTGGCCGTCTCGTGTCTTGTACATCATCTGGGGCCATCTTGGCCTTGAGGGAGGCCCTCTTGGAGCCGCCATCGGGGCGGGGGGGAGGACGGGGTGGGCCTGGCGGGCGCTCAAGGGGCGCAGGTGCCGTCGACGTACGGCGCATTGGCAGATAGAAAATTACGCAATTGCAAGTTCACGGCGCCACGCTGCGGAGGGAGGGCAAAGCAGGCGTGAGGAGGAGGAGGAGGAGGAGGAGGAGGAGGAGGAGGAGGAGGAGGAGGACAAGGAGGGGGAGGAGGGGCACAGAGAAGCCACACTGAAATGTCTGGCAGAAGCGCGCAAGCGCACGGGGCCCATTTCGTGGCAGGGGCAGGCGGGCTAGCGCAGGGGCTTGGTCCAAGCAGTGACTGCATGTTGGGCCGGATGCGCCGGCGGGGCCTGCACCATCGCTTCTCGACTAGACGTAAGAGTGACCTTTCGCCGGAGTGACCTTGGGTGCGGGCACAGATGGGTCCCCAGATGGCTGAAAACGAAGCAGCAGCAGCAGCAGCAGCAGCAGCAGCAGCAGCAGCAGCAGCAGCAGCAGCAGCAGCAGCTGCTTGCGCGCCCAGGTCTGGTCCCCCCGCGGCCCCCAAGAAGTCGCGCACCAAGGGCCACCCTTACCCAGGGTCGCTCTTGCGTATAGCCGCGCTTCGCAGGGTGCGAGTGTAACGAGACAAGCAGTAGGGGAACAACAAGAGCGCCGATCCGAGAAATCCGCGCGGACCTCCGAGTTTTTATGCTTATGCCACTTTTTGTTCCCCTAAGGAGGGGCGTACGAAAGTTGCTGCAGCTGGTTTCGGCCCCGATTCGGCCCCGCCGCTGCACGCTTTCCTCCTCTCGACGGCGAGCCTGGGGGGAATCTGAGAAGGAGAAGGCCGTCTCAGAACGCTCGGAAGTCCCCCGGCCTTTGTAAGAAGGTATCTGGGCCTTTTCGTTCCCCTAGTAAGGAGAGAAGCAAAGGCCCGACGCGCGCTTCACCGCTGCACGCGCGGTGGCAGATCTCGCATTTCCATCGGCTTTCGAGCGGCGGCGTCCCAGCTGGAAGCTCAGCCGCCCCCAGCCCCCCCCCCCGCGGCTCGGGCGGCCATTTTTGGGGAGGAGGAGGAGGAGGAGGAGGAGGAGGAGGAGGAGGAGGAGGAGGAGGGCGGGGGGGGGCGCTCAGTTTGTCATCGTTTCCTTGCCTTCGTCTGCACCTTCACGACCGTGGTGCGGTCGTGCTCGCTGGGCCATGCCCTACTCCTGGTGGGGCTCGGAGCCTCCGAGGCTGCCGGCCCGGAGAGCCGCGCGGTCTGGACGATGCGTGAGCTTCGAGCGCCTGGCGCCGCAGACGCTCTGGGTCGCTCCCAGGATTATCATGTTCCAACCTACTTTCGCCTTCCCTGACTCCTGATCCGCCCTACTTTGGGCGATTTCGAAAGTAGGGCGGAAATTTCCGCCCTACTTTTGAGGCCCCTTTGAGCGTCGATTTCCGCCCTTGAGGCTCCTCTGGCGTCGATTTCCGACACAATTTTAGGTCGGAAAATCATCCAAAGTACGGCGGATCAGGAGCCAGGGTGGGTCGTTCCCAGGATTATCATGTTCCAACCTACTTTCGCCTCGACCACCAGGAAGAATCTCGAGCGCCCAAAAGAGTACCGAAACTCAAGGGTTTTCACCTGTCGGGCCCTGGGAGACACTCGCCCGACACTGTTCCGAGACTGTTTCGACACTCTTTTGACACTTCTCTGGGTGCTCGAAATAATTTCTGGGATGCGGTCCTTAAGTAGGATGGGAACAGCATATTCCCATGGGGAATTCGTCGGGCACCTCGACGTTTCAGGGGGTGCCAGGCTAGTTTTATGCAGGGCAAGGCGCAGTGAGCCACCGTCAGAGCTCGTAGAGTAAGGGCGCGCGGACGTCCCGGTGTACCCTCGCATCCCTGCCTCTGCGGACCCTCCTTCTCGGTTTTCGCTGGCCAGCCCTTCAGGGTGTTGACAGTCCGCCGCCCCAAAAGTGCCAACTTCGGCGTCCAAGGCCTTTGCGTCCTTACCGCCCGTCCTCACTACATTGATCTGTATATATTTTTACACATATATATATATACTGTGTATTGTCTGGTGTGCCATTCGCTCAGAGCGCTTGATTCGATGCTCGGTCCAGCCTGCTTCAATTACAGCATGGAGAGGCTGTGTCTACGCTTCTGCTGGCCGCAGGCAAGTGACTTCACATTTCAGCTGCGCGTGGGCATGGTGAGCTATACATCCTGCAGGTGCACAGTCAGTCTCGGTTTCTTCTTGTTGGGGCGGATCTTCATCATCACGACTATATCAGATCTCATCATGCGCATCGCTACAATGTCAACTTGGCCATGCAAGAACCGTCAGTATGCGGTGCTGCCAGCACGTCCGCGTTATTATGTTTAAAGATTTTTGGCTGTGCTGTCTCAACGCGACCCGTTGAGGGCAAAGTGTGTCGAGTGCCAAGCGCCTCACTGTATCGTTTTCGAGCGAATGTTTGAAGTGCTCGTGCAGGTACTTCCGGAGAGACCCCCGGAGGCGTATCGGCACCCGCAAGCCGCATGAGACCTTCTAGCGGAGTGTCGAGAACAACACCTCTTCGGCCCGAAGAGAGAGAGAGAGAGAGAATGAGAGAAAGAGAGAGTACAACGTAGGCCATTCTGAGACCGCTCTGGAGACTTGATGTTCAACGGTGGCTGAATGCGCTTCGCTTGTGTTTCGCATGCGGGTTCGCATATGTTTGGTATTGCGTGAGCGTTTCACCGGGATTTCACAATTTGTCACACACGAGTTTCACAGTTATTTCGCACGTGTTTTGCACGCATTTCACATGTGTGTCACATGTGTCTCGTTTCAGTGTTGCATTTGTTTCGCGGTTGCTCTACAAATTGTCTTGCATGCGATACATGTGATGTTCGTTGTGCGTGGCACGCATCTGACATGCGCCACATGTTTGTTTCGTATAAGTTTCAGACGTGATTCATTTGTGTGCTACCCATGTGTTGCTTACTAGTGGCCTTCGGTCCATCCCGCCACCGTGCCTAGGTTGTAGGCCGCAGGTCTCTTGGAGGCCTCTGGGGACCTCTCGGGAGGCCTATCCGATGCTTCTTGGTGGCGGTTTTGAGGGTATCTTGGGGTCTCTCGGGGTCTCCTAGGAGCCTCCTAGGACTTCTGGGGAGCATTTTGGGCGGTCTCGGAGGTCGTCTTGGGGCGGAGGGCGCGAAATCCAAGTTCGAGTTGCCCCTCTTGGGGTCATCTGGGCGCCCTCTTGGGGCTTTCTCGGGCTGTTTGGGGGGCCTCTCGGACCGTCTTGGGCCCCTCTTTGTCCGCCTGGATACTGTCCTCTTGGGGGCCACTCAGGGCGATCTTGAAGGCCTCGTGGGCCCTGGGCCGTCTTGGGAGCGTCGGAAGCCCGATCGTGCGCCGTGGCGCAGCTGCGTCGCATCCGCGGGAGCGCCGCGGAGCGATCTTCGGGCAGGGCGCTGCAGAGAGTCGGTTGAAGGTTGTACGATTTGCCCGGCTGGGAGCGAGACTGCCCTGGCTCCTGATCCGCCGTACTTTGGATGATTTTCCGACCTAAAATTGTGTCGGAAATCGACGCCAAAGGAGCCTCAAGGGCGGAAATCGACGCTCAAAGGGGCCTCAAAAGTAGGGCGGAAATTTCCGCCCTACTTTCGGAATCGCCCAAAGTAGGGCGGATCAGGAGTCAGGGCTGAATCTGCGCGTGACCGGGGTCTGAACCTCAGGAAGGTGCGTCAGGAGGGAAAAAACAAAACACACAGACACAATGACCCGTCGATTCCCCAAGAAAAGATGGGAAAACATGGAAAGTGGGGGGGAAGACGGAGACCCAGAAAATCCGCCGGCCCCCTTGTGGGGCCACCAGGCTGTAGGCCGAAGCTTCGCAGTTTCCTGTGCCAGTTGCAGCTTCCAGTTTCTGTTGTTACAGTTTTGCTTCTTGCTGCTTACTGTTCCTTGTTGATGGACCGCGCGAGGGGGGGGAGGCCCAAACGGGCAGGTTTAGCACGCCCTGAGCGTCTGTTCTGAATTGCTGGGGTGGGTAAAAATTCACACCCCTCACGCAGATCGGCGGGGTCAGGGTCCAAAAACACATGAGATTTGCCACAGTTCTGACATTTGCTGGCACCCCTCACGCAGATCGGCGGGGTCAGGGTCCAAAATCATAGGGGATTTGCCACGTTTCTGAAATTCGGTGGCACCCCTCACGCAGATCGGCGGGATCAGGGTCCAAAAACACATGGGATTTGCCACATTTCTGAAATTCGGTGGCACCCCTCACGCAGATCGGCGGGGTCAGGGTCCCAAAACATGTGAGATTTGCTGCATTTCTGAAATTCGGTGGCACCCCTCACGCAGATCGGCGGGGTCAGGGTCCAAAAACATATGAGATTTGCCACATTTCTGAAATTCGGTGGCACCCCTCAGCAGATCGGTGGTCAGGACACAAGAGACTTCCAAAATTTTCAAATTCGGGGAAAAGATTCGGGCACAGCATACGGGAGCAAATGGAAAATCGGAGGTGAGGGGGTGAGATCGAAGTGGAACGGAGAGCCCCCCTACCGGGAAATCGATTTCGGTTTCGTGTTCGTGCGTGCCGTGCGTGCGGGCGAGGCGAGGCTGCGTGGGCGGGCGAGAGGAAAGTCTCCTGTGGCTGAGGCGCGGCCGGACCAAATGATTCTCCACCGGGCGGCCGGTGGCGCGCGGTGTCCCGCCGGTCTCCCGGTGGTGTCCTCTGTGGCTGAGGCGCGGCCGGACCAAATGATTCTCCACCGGGCGGCCGGTGGCGCGCGGTGTCCCGCCGGTGTCCCGCCGGTGTCCCGTCGGTGTCCTGTCGGTGTCCCGATCATGATGTTGATGATGACGATGATGATGATTATGATGATGATGGTGATGATGATGATGATGGTAATGATGATGATGATGATGATGCTGATGATGATGATGATGATGATGATGTTGATGATGGCGATGATGATGATGATGATGATGATGATGATGATAATGATGATGATGTTGATGATGTTGATGTTGATGATGATGATGATGATGACGTCGATTGCGAGATCGATTGTGATATTGGTAGTGAGACCGAATGTGAGATCGACTGTGAGATCGATAGTGAGACCGATTGTGAGATCGATAGTCAGATCGATTGTGAGATGATGATGGTGATGATGGTGATGATGGTGATGATGATGGTGGTGATGATGATGATGACGTTGATGATGTTGATGAAGATGGTGTCCCGATGACGAGGATGTTGATGATGATGTTGATGATGGTGATGATGATGATGTTGATGATGATGATGGTGTCCCGATGATGATGATGATGATGATGATGATGATGATGATGATGATGATGATGATGATGATGATGATGATGATGATGATGATGATGATGATGATGATGATGATGATGATGATGATGCTGATGATGATGATAATGACGTTGATGATGATGATGTCGATGATGATGATGATGATGGTGTCCCGATGTGAGACCGAATGTGAGACCGAATGTGAGACCGAATGTGAGATCGATAGCGAGATCGATTGAGTGAGACGTTGGTTCCCCCTCCCCCCTCACCTCCTTATCACCCGCAGGGTGGTCGTATAGGTACAACAGCGAGTACAGCAATAGACTCGCAATCTCCGTCCGTCTTGCCAAGTACCCATCTTCGCACGGAGTTCCGACGCTGCTTCACGGTGAAGCCAAGGCCTCATGACTTCGCTCTCCCATGGCCCATTCTCCGAGAGAGGGGGGCCGGCGGCAGGGGGCGAAGCCCTTACGGATATACCCAGACCCCAGACGTCATGATTTTTTCATGACGTCGACCCCCAGAGGTCTGGACCCCTTCCCTGGGACCGGTTTCTCATCCTGAGTCGCTTTTTGACGGTCCCGAGGCCCGGCGAGGGCCCCTATAGAGGCCGAAATTTGGGCAAAAAATCCGTCTTGATTTTTGTCAATGCGTTGGATGTCTTGGTATGAAGGTATGGGGAATCCTGCTATTTGTGTGTGTACAGCGGCTTGAATAAGAAACGCTTGCTTTTCAAAAGGGGCTCGGTCGTTCCATTTATCGTTCCTTGTGCATCATGTATTCTCTATCGTTCCTTGTGCGTTCTTCCCTGGGGAAAAGGGGCTTCGTTCCTGATGTATCGTTCCTTAGGTCACCCTGGCTCCTGATCCGCCGTACTTTGGATGATTTTCCGACCTAAAATTGTGTCGGAAATCGACGCCAAAGGAGCCTCAAGGGCGGAAATCGACGCTCAAAGGGGCCTCAAAAGTAGGGCGGAAATTTCCGCCCTACCTTCGAAATCGCCCAAAGTAGGGCGGATCAGGAGTCAGGGCAGGCCGACGACTGTATCTGTTTGCGTGTCCCAGGGCCCCTTTCCGCGACGGCGCGCGAGCGCGCCCAGGCACAGTCGGGGTCTCCCACGGGCGGGCTGCGACGACGACGACGGCGACGACGACGACGACGACGACGACGGCGGCGACGGCGACGGCGACGGCGACGACGACGACGACGACGACGACGACGACGACGACGGCGACGACGGCGACGACGACGGCGGCGGCGGCGGCGGCGGCGAGGTCCAGTGAGCAGAATGCGCGAAGCCAGAGGAGCAGCGAAGGAGAATCGCGGAAGCAGCGCCGCCGTAGAGTCCTAGACTCTGGAAGGCGCCTTCCTCCCACCCGTCGCGCCTGCCTCGTGCCCCTGCGCCAGTCGGCCTCGGAGGCCTTCGCTGCCGCCAGTTGACAGATTCAGGAGGGAGAGCAACACACGGACACAACGAATCGTCAACGCCCAGGAACACCCTGACTCCTGATCCGCCCTACTTTGGGCGATTTCGAAAGTAGGGCGGAAATTTCCGCCCTACTTTTGAGGCCCCTTTGAGCGTCGATTTCCGCCCTTGAGGCTCCTTTGGCGTCGATTTCCGACACAATTTTAGGTCGGAAAATCATCCAAAGTACGGCGGATCAGTAGCCAGGGCATGGGGGAAAATAGGGGAAGTGGGGGGGGGGGGGGGAAGAAGTCGAGCACCCAGAAAACATGGGAAAATATAGGTAATCCCAGGGTTTTGCGTGTATTTATCTGTGTGTCCCTGGGCACCTTTCGATCCGATGCAGTGGCGCAGTGGTCCGACGGGATCGGTCCCAAAACACGTCACTTGCTCACCACTCGGACCCGTCCAAAACGCACCGGCTTCGCACCGAGTCCGCCCAACAAGCATCCCAGACCCCCTCGAGTAATGAAAAAATCATGACGGGAGGTTTTTCCTAATTTTCGGCCTCCGGGGGCCCTCACCGGGCCTCGGGAGCGTCAAAAAACGACTCAGGATGCAAAGCCGGTCATGGGGAAAGGGTCGGGACCTCTGGGGGTC